TGTGTGTGTGTGTGTGTGTGTGTGTGTGTGTGTGTGTGTGTGTGTGTTTCAGTTGTTCCTGCTCTACCTGTGCTCAGCTGTGCCAATAATGCAGCTTTGATTAGAGGCTTATCGCAGCTCCGTCACACCTCGGCCATGTGACTCCCCGACAGGGCCGTAAAACAAACACACCCGGAGCACCGATCTGCGTCACAAGCACACTTTCATGCTTTAAGTTCGTGCAGCTGATTATTTCTTTCTAATATTTTATTTTGCCTTTAAAGCTGCACAACCGAGCCGATCGACTAAACGTAAAAGCAGTTCAGAAGTGAAGAATCTACCCGGTGTAAGAATCAGCAAAGCAGAAACACAAAACACGAGAAATGACCAACAAGGAGTCTGACAGTCACGGCTTAAACTGTATGTATGTATGTATGTATGTATGTATGTATGTATGTATGTATGTATGTATAACTCCATACTTGTGTTTAGGAGGAGAATAAACGAGTCTTTTTCCCACCAGGCTCTTCCTCTGCTGCGTTCTGAGCGGACGGACGCTCTGGGCTTCGACGCCGACCTCCAGCGTCTGTACGCAGCCGTCGTCGCCCAGAACGCCCGGAAACGCAAACTGTCTGAGGAGAAACAAGCAGCCGTCGCCTCGTCTGGAGGTCTGTTTGACCAAACACAAGATCCAGAATGCACTGCTGCAACTACTGATTATTATATTCAAAAAATCTAAGATATTCAAAGTAAAGTTTATGTATAAAAGCCTCACATTGAGCTGCTTCATGTCAGCGCAGCATTAACTAAAACAGTCCTGTGTGTCCTCGTCCTCCAGCTGGATCCGTCATCAGTGAAGTAGGGGAGGACGCGCTGGAGGACGCAGCTGGAGCCAAGATGGCCGACAGACCTGCAGAACAACAGGTACAGTTACATCACTCACTGACCAGAGAAAGCCGTGAAGAAGAAAGGACACACAGGATTTACTACGAATACTTTTACAGTTATAAGAAAGGAAAGAGATGAACCATGAAAGAAATACAGATAAAAGTGTAAAAGCTGCTTAATAACAAATATCCGTCACTTCCTGTCCTCTGCAGGCTCTGCCGGTCCGGTCCAACCCTGCAGAGCGAGCGTCCTCCAAACCAAAGAAGAAGAAGGGGGTGGGACTGTTCCGATGAGCGTAGCAGGGACGCACACAGACCACCGTTCAGAGCCGCATCAGCAGAAACTGCTTTTTATCCTTTTGCTGCTTTTAAGCCAATTCTTATTTTTAAACGTTTTTATAACACTTGTTTTTAATTACGGTGAAGATTTTTTTTCTTACAAGAGGCTTTTAGATTAATATTATTCAATATTTTACAGTGTGGGAGTGAACTGTTCATTAAAGATGTAAACATCGTGTTGATTGCTGTATTTGTCCGTTATTAATGAAATCAAACATTCATTCACATGTGGTCCTGAACAACGTGCTTTATATTCATGTCTTTAGCTTCGGGAGCTCAGGACCGTCTCTTTGTGTCTGCAGCGTCTCTGTGAAGCTCTGACAGACGGAGGACGGCGGTCGATAGAGCTCTTCAGAGCTCAGTGAGATGTTGACTCAAGGTGTTGCAGCATCTCGAGAATGCCATTGAAGTTTAAGATGAAAAGTCTCTGTTTGCCTGACGGAGTTCCAGAGTTTCTGTGTGACGAGAGGAACTGAAGAGTCATGGAGATGATCTTTACTCTTTCAGTCCTGTTTGAACCTTATCTAAGTCAGGCTGAGCAGCTCTGACTTCTTATTCATGTGAAGAAATAATCCATTTATCAGTCACATGAAAATCAATCCTCAACAACAGAGCTAAACCTGATCAGACATGTGAGGACGTCTCCACAAGACATCCAGCAGATGATTCCTCCTCATTTGAGACCGATTTAAAGAAGACTTATCTTTTGACTTTGTCAAATCTCGTAAATAAAGTACTCCTATTTCACTTTGGGCCCCTGCGTGCCAGACTAAAGGCCCCTGGAGGTCCTCAGACCCTCAGATCCTCAGACTGAACACGGAATTATTAATCTGAAAGAGTTTGAACACCAAAGAAAGCAGCTTGTGACTGTTTTTATATCAAGATATTAATATAAAGATGGCGGAGAGATGAAACCTTTAACTTTTAGTCGACTCAGCATCTGGTGCTGCGTTCATGTCCGGGCATAGTTCCGTTCTTTATTGCAGGTGAATCTTACAACACTCAAACGACGCAGAATCAAGCTGCTTCATGCTACAACTGCTTGTTGGCAAAGGGAGTTCTGGGAAATGTAGGAAATCTCCAGAATCATGCGATTGAAAAGCAAGACCCTTGAGGGGCCCTTGATGGATAGTTTAATGTCGCTATGAGAATCTGTTTATTACAGAGGGTGAGAACGTTTTAACGCGCGCACCTGCTCCTGCGTCTTAACTTGACGAGGGTCCAAAGGACAGAGAGCGCGCGCGCCTGCCCGGACGATCTCGTGGCTCTGTGTTTGTCTGTCCTCTTGGCTGACAGTGTACACATGAAGGCGGCCGCGGGGCCCGTGCCACCCCGGTGGGAGGAGAGGACGGAGCGGAGGGCAGGTCCAGCAGGGCGCGGTCTTCTTCTTCTCCCGCGGCACCTCATCTGTACTGTCGTAGGATCTCTTCCATTCCTGCCAGCAGCCCTGCGCCACAGGGACGCATTGAGAACCAACCCGAGAGGCAGAAAAACCGCTGCGGGGACACCCTTTGACCGCCGTGCCCAACAGGCGCAGCCAGACTGCGCACCGCGCGCCTCCGCGTCTGTCTGCTGCGCTTTTCTCACAGCTCCGACACAGAGAGGCAGCTTTGAACCTGCCTGCCAAGATAAACTCACCTCGCCTATTTATGCCCCTGCCTCCGCGTGCACTCGGGACAGGAGAGAGTCAGCCGCTCAGAGGACAGGTTCACGTCTTTCCGAGTCGTCTCCAGCGGCGCACTGGCCACTTTTACGCGCCGGGAATGACCACTTTTGGGGACTCGGGAATGAGTCCTGCTACGTTACCTCCACTCTAGAGTCATAAAGGGGGACCCACGCATCAAGAGAAGTACAGCCACCCGCCGGGGGGTCTCAAACCGGCCCGGGGCGGAATGCTGCTGCCGACGCTGGTGACGTGCCTCGCCGGGTGCGCCTTTCTCCTCTCGCCGGTCAGCGAGGGTTGCGGGCCGGGTAGAGGCTACGGCAAGAGGCGGTCACCCCGGAAGCTCGCGCCACTCGCCTACAAGCAGTTCAGCCCCAACGTGGCCGAGAAGACTTTAGGGGCCAGCGGGAGATACGAAGGGAAAATAAGCCGGAACTCTGAGCGCTTCAAGGAGCTCACCCCGAACTACAACCCCGACATCATCTTCAAGGATGAGGAGAACACAGGTGCAGACCGCATGATGACACAGGTAACCTTCCCGGACACCGTAGTGCCTTTGAGCCATTAAAGGCTGCTTAATAAGGGGCATTTCAGTGCGTTATAGTGCACTTTGCCCAGTCTTTAAACGCGTGGACACCGTTATCTTTTTCCGCATGTCTTGTTGACTCAAGGCTCGTCACTGCAGAAAGAATCCGTCTCAACAAACAAACTGCATATTTTCTACAGAACCTGGATAAGAGCCATTGATATTCTAATGAGATGACGCAGCACTCTGTAAGATCATTTAGACTTCTGCGAAATACATTTGACTTTTTCTTTAAACTGGACTTTTCTTGCTGCTCGTTGAGAAACTGATTAGAAAAGCTGCGTGTTTGCTCAACTCTTTGTTCAGTCAATTCTTCAAACCCCTGCAGCTGTTGACTCAGTGCAGTTTGAATCACAGCTCTCCTCTTCTGCTCCACATGGACTTTCAGAGGGTCACTGTGGGCAGCTCGTGCGTAAAAGAGGGCACCCCCGTCTAAAACTGTATGGAAACGCGGTCGCTCTTAATTAAAACACTATGTCCTCTGTTTTACATCATGTTTTTTGGTGGAAAAACAGCCAAAAGTCGTATTTGGTTAGAGCCCGGGTCAAGCGGGTCCTGATGTTTACCGTTTTCTTTTTTAGCCCGACTGGCCAGAGTTAACAGTCGCCTTTTGGACTGTCAGATTTTTTTACGACACCGTCATTGATGTGGCCCCGCGTGGAATTTATTTGACTCCCAATTTCCCCAGAAATAACGTATTTATATCTGGCTCTTGTGACCGCGGGCTTCCTCTCTGAGCGGCAGCGCTTATGTCCACAGACCCACGTGGGGAATGAAAGCGCGCACTCCCGTCTGGAGCTGTCACCTCGCCGCGTGTACTGCAAGAAATATCCTCCGGAGCGAGTCACTCCAGCTGAGTTTAATGCACGAGATCAAGTTTTTAAATGCAAGAGGCCAAAAGCAGCACTGAGAGATGAGTTGATTCGGTTTGTCTTCAGGCTTCATTTCTCAACATGTTGCCACTTTTCTTATAAAATGAATCCACAAAGAGCAATAAAGATCAAATCACATGAACTGTGTTGAAGAAATACAAAGTAAAGTCAACTCTTTCAGGTGAAACGGCTCCAAACGACATTTTTTGCAGCGCGCACCCCGAGCCGCTGTGCGTCAGCGTCGCAGACCTGCACACAATTTATGGGCTCCAAGCCGCAGGAGACAGCCTCCTGTTTGTCTTTTACTATTCCGTGTTACTCTTGTGTTTGTTTTCGCAGCACACATGTGCAGAAATAGCCCACTTCACTTGTGTTGAAGCCTTAATTATACACATTTTTATTCGCTTTTTCCGGGGCGCTGCGCGCTGCATACAGACGCGACTGTTCAGCGGCGAAGCCACACTGCCATGACATACCATTCCTCACATTCACCTCTGTCTTTTTAAAAAGCTTAATCCTCGTTTCAGTGCACGAGTAAAGACATGCAAGACGTGCACGTTTATCTCACTTCTCTGCAGTCAGTGGCCGCTTAATGTCGGGGACTTCATGCAGACATGATGCGTAAAGGCAGATCCCCGGAGCATCCTCTACACAGCCTCATTGCGTTTGAAGAAAGAGAGGACGCTTTGTTTTGTGCACATTCTGTCCCCTCGTGTGATGAAAAGTAGACTGTTCGACGCCTCGTGAGACGCAGTGACCTGCAGGACGTTTAAAGGTGTGCATAAGCGCGTCCAATGTTTGTGCAGCCAGCGGTTTAGTGCTCCAACCGCCCCGACAGAAACCCCCGTCGATCTGTACACCTTGAAAGGAAAACCAACAAAATGTATCGTCTGATTTATGAAGTCCAGCTCGTTGCTGCGACCGCAGTGAAAACACGCGCCGTTAAAATCCACAGCGAACACCGTGAAAAGGCATCTGTGGCCACCGAGACACGAGCTATTCTTATCACAGCGACGTGGAAAAAGACATTTACGGGTTTAATCCCATTCACTCAGAAATAGGCTGAGAGTCATGAAACGAGACGCTGTAGGGAAACACAAGCCGTCCCAGTCATGATTACATTTAGATTCACTTCTTCTGTTAGTCACGTGCAATAAAAGCTCCTCTGGATTTAAACATATACGACCTTTTAAAAGCGTCACGTCTTCAGTTGACCTTCTAAAAAGGAACATTTTACAAAATACAAGTAAAGTAAAAAGCCAAGTTTCATCAAATCAAACAAGTCAAATGTTGAAGTGAATGAAATAAGATCTTTATTGTTTAGATAGAACTCGTGCAGCACATCTTTGGTCAGCTGGTTCCTGAATATCTGGACTCATCCTGGTACAATATCTTAAATTGGACCAACAGTGTGTTGAATTATCACGTTAGTGGGAAACAGCGCCCTCAGCAGGCTGCGGTGTGCTATTGTAGAATAAAGTGAGAGTCCTATTGTTTCCTCTTTATCATGATCTAACTGAGATCAAAGCTCTTATTTGGTTTTAAAGTCCACATGTTATCCTGTTAAATTCATCCAAACGTGGTTATTTGACATGTTTGAGCTTTAAAGATTACTTCAGGCCACCGGACCTTTTCTTTTTAACAAGTCCTCCCCTTTAATGTGAGGTGTTCAGGTGTGTGTGAGGCGTTCAGGTGTGTGTGAGGCGTCACACTGGATGAGTGGGTGAGATTAATGGAGCTGACTGGAGGATTTATTGGGCACAGCAGAGTCCTTCAATCGGCCCTCTCACCTTATGTTTGCTCACCCCGACCAGACTCCAGTTTAGAGGGACCCTGAGGACCTCTTGTTCATGTAGACGCCCCCCCCCCCCCCTCACCCCTCCATCCATCCTCTGCATCGCCTCCCTTCTCTCACCACACAGAGAAAACATCAGAGCTGGAACAGCAGGGGTGCATTGTGGGAAGTCTGAAGCCCCAGAAGGAGTGGAACATTGAATACATGTAGATGTGAACAGCCGTGTGTGTGTTTCCCTGCAGCGCTGCAAAGACAAGCTGAACTCTCTGGCCATCTCGGTGATGAACCTGTGGCCCGGGGTCCGTCTGCGGGTCACCGAGGGCTGGGACGAGGACGGCCACCACTCGGAGGAGTCGCTGCACTACGAGGGCCGGGCCGTGGACATCACCACCTCCGACCGGGACCGCAACAAGTACGCCATGCTGGCGCGGCTGGCGGTGGAGGCTGGGTTCGACTGGGTCTACTACGAGTCCAAGGCCCACATCCACTGCAGCGTCAAGTCAGGTGAGAGGACCAGGTTTGGTTTTTCAAAGTAAAAGCCTCAGGACGTCTACTCAGAAGAGTTCCTTACATCAGGAGAGAAGCTGCTTCTCATATATCTCACACTAATAATCACATCTATGTGCTACTTATTCCAAAGAGCAAATACATCTTTGATTAAGAATAAACTCTTTCAACGTGTTCGTACAGTCTGCTCAGCTTTCTTACATCTAAAGCTAAAGCTAACGCTAATGCCTCAGAGCATCTTTAAAACGTATCTTCTGTAGCTGAAGAGAACCTCTCATAGGACACAAACTCCCAGTGTGCATCTCTTCAGCAGCTGAAGTTCAGTACTGGGCCTGAACCTTCTTCAGCTTTAAAGTTTGACTAATCCTGAAGCTTAAACTGAGTAACTTGTACATTTAGCTTCGTTTACTCTTCAGGCTCTTCCTTCTCTTCTGATCACTAACCTTCCTCTCGCTTGCATCTCAACTGTCTTCAGCTTTTATATTTACTCTTTTTTTCCTCCATCTCCATCTGCCACTCACATTTTGCTGATCTGCACTTTATAGAACAAAGATTGAGGTGATTACGGAGGAGGAACGTGTTTAAAAGAGGACGATGAAGACTTTAACCAACAGAAAGTTTAAATAACTCAACCGTGTAACCGTGTAGTGTCTATTAATCATGTGGGAGGATTTGAACACTTTGTTTCTTTCTCATCCAGAGATAAGCATGCATAGATTGCATGTTAATAAAGTAGATGAGCTGCTGAGGTCTGCAGACACGTTCACATTCAGGCTCCACATATTCCACTCCGTCTGTTCACAAAGTGCTGAAAGTCACACGGTCTTCACAATTCAAACGCCTCCTTCACACGTTTGTGGTAACTGAGATTTTCCTCTTTCTTTCTCCTTGTTTCCTACTTTATCTCTCCTTTCCTTTCCTTCTTCTCTCCTCCCCTCCCAGATCGGGTTGCGAGGGCCCAGTCCTTGACTTGATCAGAAGGGCAACCAATCAAGTTGGTATTTTTCTCATGTTTTTGATTTCTCCTTTTTATTTAAACAATAATCTCCCTTTTTTGCTCAAAATTCCTCAAAAGAGAGAAGTCAGCAAATCCCCCCAAATCCTCCGTACAGACCCTTAAAGGGGGCAGCTAAAGGAAACGGCCACTAGGGGGCAGCAACGCACCAGAGCGCTGGAGCTCACAGTCACCTCAGACTTCAACAAGAAGATCAAACTACTGTGATGAAGAACCGCGTCTGTACGATGAAGCTTCAGGATTACATTTCATTGCATTCCTCACGAGGAAGCTGCATCTCGTACTTCATTCAACAAATTAATTCTTTGTTAAATAATATTTATTATATATATATAAGCTGTATAAATATTACAGATTCCCATAAATGTTTGTAGCGTTAGAAAAGAGCTGACGCTGCAGGTTTTAAACGTGGTCACCTGCTGCCTGCTCCTCCTGCTCTGCTCCTTCCTCCTCCAGGTGACCTATCTGATCACCTGGCCCTGGCTTTCCTCCTCTCCCCAGATAGACTTGAGACAGTCCTCCAGTGTCACACACACACACACACACGCGCACACACACGCACACACACGCACACACACGCACACACACGTGCTTATTGTTCCTTTGTGTCCAGAGGAAGAAGTCAATATTCAGCCAGAAGGTTTTATTGTGTGCTTTGTATGGAAGCTGATTCCTGCCAAGATAATAACACCGGAAAAATAGAAATGCAACAATTTAAAATGTAAATATAATATCAGTCAAAGTTTGACTTTTTAAATCCAATTATGAAATTGTAAATATTTAAAATGAGGACATTTCAAGTAAAAAGGATCAGGATGGATAATTAACATGATGAGATACGATCTATTAATTTCTCTCAACATTAAAACATAAAAAGTCTCTTTTGAGCTTCCATACTGAATGTCGACATGCTGTCTGACGTCCTCGTCTCCGTATGTCAGATCACTCCATGGCGGCTAAATCTGGAGGTTGTTTCCCCGGCGAGGCCTCGGTGACGTTGGCGAGCGGCGGTCAGAAGTCCATTGGCGACCTGCGACCTGGCGAGCAAGTCCTGGCGTCGGCGGGCAGCGACGGCAGCGGCGAGCTGGTCTACAGCGAAGTGCTGGTGTTCCTGGACCGAGACCCCGTCACCTGGAAGCTCTTCTACACGCTGCATACGGAGGCCGGAGCCCGCCTCTCGCTCACCGCCGCCCACCTGATATTCGTGTCCGAGGGGAACTGCTCAGAGGGGGCGCTGCCGGCCCGCGGCGCCCTCAGGACCGCGTATGCCAGTGACGCCCAGCCGGGACAGTGCGTGCTGGTGTCGCAGGGGGAGGCGGGTCGGGGGCGTCTGTCCCGGATCACCCGGGTCAGCATGAGCGAGAGCAGGGGGGCGTTTGCACCACTGACCCAGCAGGGGACGCTGGTGGTGGACGGGGTGGTGGCGTCCTGCTACGCGGTGGTGGACCAGCACTCCCTGGCTCACTGGGCCTTCTCGCCGCTCCGGCTGATCCACAGCTGGACCGGTACCACTGGGAGCCACCGGGACGGGATCCACTGGTACTCCCGGCTTTTACACTGGCTGGGGAGGATGCTGCTGGACTCGGGACGCCTCCACCTGCTGGGGGCCGCTCAGGACGACGGGTGAGGACGGAACAAAGGCCACATGGGTGGAGACTTTCTTTTAACTGGGATGACCCGGGTACCAGCCTGTACCGGACCATGATGGACCGCCTGACGAGACGGGAGACGTTTGGGTTCCTGCTGAGGCATGATGGGAGTTTTTTAACAAGGAGGGAGGAGCTGTGAACTGACACAGATGAACTACAAGAAACACTCAAAGACTTCAAGTGACTGTGTGGAACAATAATCCCTTAATAATCCCTTAATCTACTCTTAACAACACCTCACTTACACATGAGTTATCACCTTAAGGTGTTATTAAGGTCTGGAACGTGTTCAGGTGCAAAGTACGGATGTTTTAAGGGTTTCTCATTCAGCATTCAGGTGTTCAATAGCGTATTTTGAGGTATAAATGTTTTAAATTAAAGGATTTTAAAAATATATTTAGTGTTTTTAAATGGTTAAAAAAACTTACACATGACAGAAAAACCATTCCTGACATTTCACCTTAAATGAGAAATAAAGGAACTCTTCAGGTATAATTTAAGGGATTTTTTGTGGGTTATTTTACCTCTTAAATAATTCAGATACTCATGACAAACACCACATTATATACAATGAATAACCGCCATAAAATCATATTACAAACTGCTTCACTGTTATGGTATGAAAGCATCTTAAGTAAGAATGAACGCACGTTTAGGTACGCTGTATATTATGGGATGGTCTTCATGTTTAAGGGGTTCTTGCCCCTCAAACGACCTTTAATCTGTGAAGAAACCCATAAAGAATCATTCATATGATATAATCCATTCATATGTACAATGATTTGCATTTTAAATATCACATTAACATGAACCAACCTGAATATCTTAAATGTATCATGACTTGATTTGTCAAATATGTCAGAGGTCATGAGTAATTTAAGGGGAAAGTTAGCACTCAACACATGCAGATAATCAGGTATAAATATCATATTCACTCCCATCAAAGCCCGTCACACTCTGAATAACACCGGGGTGATTGGTGGTGTTTTAAGGTTTCTTAGTGAAGTCCACTGTGTCATATTCTATGGAACATTATTAGAATAAATCATAGTGTATTTAAGTGTTATTTGTTTACAGAAATCTAATAATGTTTAAGAAGTTATTTTGGGTAAAGCGATATGAAAAGATTTATTTTTTAAATTAAATTATATGTAAATGAGATGAGTGTTGTTTTTCTTGAATCCGTGGACACCTGATGAAAGGTGCGGATGACCCGCTGACACCTGAACGCACCATCAGTGACACCTACCGGCTGCAGGAGTGTCCTGTGTCTGCGTCAGGACTGATTTAGCCCTCACGTCTGACTGTGTGCATAAATAAGGCCGTGCGTAAAGACGGACACACCGGTTGCATGTATGCAGCAGATGTCGGCTAATAATACCAACCTGCTGCGCCTTTAAGAGGAAGACTGAGGAGGAAACTTAATATCTCTCCATATCGAGTCTCCATCATTGAACGGTGAGAGCAGCCGATCTCTCAATCTGTCCCAAACTCCACCTGCTTTTTCTCTTGTTGCTTTTTGTTTTGTGGCATAAAGCGGATTAAATTACGCATTGCACCTTTAAGACGCTGTCGCCGGATTAGAGTTACGCGCAGTGAGCCAGGTCGCCCTCCGGAAGGGTTTTACGCACCGTCGGTTTCCAGAGTAGGGTCTCCTTCAACGACACCCCCCCCCCCCCCCCCCCTCCGTCTCTCTTCTTCTCCACCGCCGGGGAGCCCTCCACGCCGTGCGACATGGCCGAGATCGGGAAAGGGGTCACCGCCGGGAAGCTGGCCATCAGCGTCCAGAAGCGGCTCACCAGAGCGCAGGAGAAGGTACACTAGTCTGTCTGCAGGACTCCATGTCCTCCTTCACTGTGAAACCTAAACCCAAACTTTTACCAACCAACACTCATGGAGTCTACTCGGTAGTGATGAGGGGGGGTAGTTTGTGGATTGTTTGTTATAAGTCTGAGTGAGTTGGTTTTTAATGAGCTACATGAGACTTACATGTGGGGGTCAACCAGAGGCATTCAGCGTTTATATTAACATACTTGTATACAGTATATACAATATACAATATACAGTTTGAGGGGTAACATCTCAACAGCATAGAGCCATCCTTCAACTTCAACCTTAAAAGATCAATATGTCATAATCACAGATTGTATCATAATAAGATGTCTTAATTAGTATTAATACATTAAACTGCGGTCAAACAGTGAACACTCAAGTATAATTAGCTTTTCAAAGTAAAAGTCAGCAGATTCAGTTGGAGAAACAAATATTCATCAGAATAGTTTCAGGAAAACTTTCATTCATAGTTCCAGAAAAGTACTCGTAGTATAAAGTATTGATGGTATGTAAAGCAGAAGGCTGCTTGTTGTTTTTGGAGATTTGATTCATTTAAATGATGATGAAGCTCAGGATCTGTCACGTTTAAAGGGAGTGACAGAATGAGCAGTGTGAGTTATTATGGTCTGTCCTAATCACTCCTGTTGCTTAAGCCTGCCGAGCTTTTACCCTCTAATCACCTCAGTGGCTAACAGGAGCGCTGTCAGTCAGTCACACAGACTCAGGCCTCTGATTGTCTCACTTCGTCTGATACGCTTCCACATCGCTCTCTCTGCTGTGGTTCCATAAAGGACTCATGCTGCTGGATGCTTGTAGCTGTACCCCCCCCCCCCCCCCCCCCCCCCCCCCCCCCCCCCCCCCCC